ATCCTGGCCCTGGGATGCGAACTTCCATCAGAAACTGGAGGGGCGAGATGGCACACGTTCACTGCTCGTAGTGTGGTTAACAGACAGCAGCAGCAGCTGGGTGTGTATGAGAAGCGCAGATCCCAACCCCAGACTGAGTGGGACTCACACTGGAACAGGATCCCCAGTTGAAACACGCATCTGCCGTGCGGGACACGGCACAGCGGGGCCGCTTGAGCCGTGGAGGAGAGTTGCACACCTCAGCGGTTGTTCCCTGCTGTTGGGCAGGGACCCCTTGCTTGATGCCTTATCTGCCCCTCTGGTCTGTGTGAAGCACAGAAGGTGCATGGCACGTGCTGGAGGGAATCCAAACTCTGGTCACCCTAGAGAACTTCCAGGGAGGGGACCTGGAAGGGCTTTCATTTGCTGGGCTTCCTGTCCAACGGCCCTCAGAAGAGGAATGAATTGTAACCACAGTCATACAGAAAATTCAGTTAGAATTAAGATCACAATAAAAGAGACCTCAGCACGTGGTGTCTCACCTCTGACTGTATGTACTTGGCACAGGAAAGGGAAGTTTCCGTGAACACGGCCCAGGGCTCTGCTCATCTGGCTGCACGGGACCCTGATGACACCGGCCGCTCCAGCCAAGCTTCTGTATGAAGAGCTGGTCCGCGCACGTTTCCCAGAACTAGCCGGTGAGTTAGTTTCAAAATAGAAGCTCCTTCTCCCTCAAAATGGTGGGGAGACAGTGAGCAGAACAATACTGTCCATTAACAGCAACAGCCCAGTTTGGGGAGACCTACTGCTCCTGAAGAATATGCAGCTCCTGGGGAGGTATTATCAGTGGATGCTCCTCCAGGGAGGATTATCAGTAGATGCTCCTCTGGGGAGGATTATCAGTAGATGCTCCTCTGGGGAGGATTATCAGTAGATGCTCCTCTGGGCAGGGATTATCAGTAGATGCTCCTGGGGGAGGGATTATCAGTAGATGCTCCTGGGGGAGGGATTATCAGTAGATGCTCCTCTGGGGTTATCAGTAGATGCTCTGCAGGGATTATCAGTAGATACTCCTCTGGGGAGGGATTATCAGTAGATGCTGATCCCGGGTGAGCCTCCGTGTTCTCAGCATCACTCTCCTATTGGGCGTTTGACAAAGTGGAGGAGCATTTCTGTTGCTGTGTATTCGAGGAAGGGTTGTGTGGGGCGTGGGGAAGCAGAGAGCGCAGGAATCTCAAGGTTCTAGGAGAGTTTCCACAACTAAGCGCAGTCCTGCAGGTCCTGCTCACAATGCCGTTTGCCCCGCTGGGGAAACCTGCCAGTCAGTGTATTCAAAAGCAGGATCTCTAGGTGAAGAGAAAAGAGCAGACAGGCTTTTACTCCGGCAACTTGGGTTTCTGCTAAGAACTGCTTGCCAAGGACTGCATCACCAGGGAAGGCGCTTTCAAGACCTATCGATAGATTAGGGCTGGGGAACGCTCCTGTAAGGATGGCCATTCAAGCAGAGTGTAGGCACATCTGCCGTTGCCTGAATCACACTCCGCAAGACTCAGTGTCAGGCGTGGTAGGTACAGGGATGACGTCTCCTCCCACGACCTTGTCCTCGAGCACCGGGATTGTTCCCTCAACTTTAAATTTCCTGGTTTCTAGAAAAGAGTAAGAATTCTCAGGGGAGACTAAGTGGCAGCCCCCCGAAGTGGTGCAGGATGTGCTTGAGCGAAGACCGTGGGCCTGGGCCTCAACGCCGGCGCTAGCCTCACTGGGCCGGTGCTCTACTTTACGAACTAGAAAATGGTCTACGTCGAAGGGTTGTTGTGGGATTACATGAGTCATAGTACCTGGCACGTAGCAAGCGCTTAATAAATGTTACCTATTAATAATAAATGTTATCCTATTTTTTCCAGAAAAGATCTTGTCAATTCAAAAACGAAACGGACTCGAGGTCCAAGAAATGTGCAGTTTCATAAACACATAAAGAAATTGTATTTGGGGATCCCTGGGTGGCGCAGCGGTTTGGCGCCTGCCTTTGGCCCAGGGCGCGATCCTGGAGACCCGGGATCGAATCCCACGTCGGGCTCCCGGTGCATGGAGCCTGCTTCTCCCTCTGCCTATGTCTCTGCCTCTCTCTCTTTCTCTGTGACTATCATAAATAAATAAAAATTAAAAAAAAATCTTAAAAAAAATTGTATTTGATTTTCCACTCTGCACTTTTAAAATTCAGTTCATTAATGCCGTAAAATTCCAGTAGTAGTGTGGACTCCCAACTATGAAGATGGTGATGACGGAAGCTCTACCAGATGGAAAGACGGTATTAGTATTTGCCAATTACTGAAATGGAAGGCCAATTTTTTTTTTGACTTACAGCCAATGGTATGATTTTTGCATTTCTGCCATTTTTTTATAAGTTTTTTTAAATTTATTTTTTTAAAATTTATGATAGTCAGAGAGAGAGAGAGAGGCAGAGACATAGGCAGAGGGAGAAGCAGGCTCCATGCACCGGGAGCCCGACGTGGGATTCGATTCCGGGTCTCCAGGATCACGCCCTGGGCCAAAGTCAGGCGCCAAACTGCTGTGCCACCCAGGGATCCCTGCATTTCTGCCATTTGATGCAACATATGTGATAGCATAATCTAGGTTTTACACTGTTTGGTTTTTTTTTTTTTAAATGATGGTAGGAGCAGCATCCTAGGATATGAAAAAACCAAGGGATTTAGAATACATAGACATGGTTTTACTCATGGTTTTGCCACTTATTAACTGTGAGCCTTTGGGCATACTAATATTCAAGCTCTCAGATCTTCAATTTCCTTACAGAGGAGTGTCTCTCCCACAAGAGCGGAGATGAAGGTTGAGTGCCTGGGAAATGCCTACTCTTATGCCCAGAGCCCAGACTATTGAAATCATCCACTGTTCATTATTTCCCTCCAGTGAGAGAACTACCTTTGGAAATGTATAGTTACTCTTGGCTTTAAATAACACCTATAAGTAGTATATTGCTTAGACAAGACCAGAAGTGTATACCAATGTTGTTTCTTTTTAGTCTCTTGGTTATGTAATTACAGGTGATTTTTATTTTCTTTGTACTTTTTGCTACTTTCCAGGGTTTTTTTTTTTTTTTTTACAATCAGCATGCAGTATGTTTATAATCTGAGAAAGTTGTGAAATAAACATGATATCAAGTATCAGTGTATATCAGTTTCTGTGCACCTATTCATTATAATTTAAGGCTCTCCATTCTCAAATTCTGACTCTAATTCTATAAGGCCAGAGATAAAAGTCTTGAGCAATAGGAGTCCAGTTATTCTATTATAAATTTAGTTTTACATCTCTGTCTCATGCTCATTGTAAATGGCCCCCTTACTTTTATGAATGTTTAAAATAAGTAGTATATTTACACGAGTCCAAAAAGTTTTTAGAGGGATGCCCGGGTGGCCCAGCGGTTGAGTGCCTGCCCTCGGCCCAGGGTGGGATCCTGGGGTCCCAGGATCGAGTCCCACATCAGGCTCCCTGTGTAGGGCCTGCTTCTCCCTCTGTCTGTGTCTCTGCCTCTCTTTCTGTGTCTCTCGTGAATAAAGAAATAGAATCTTAAAAAAAAGAAAACGTTTTTAAGAAAAGTATTCAGTGAAAAGTCTAGTCCCCATCTGTTTTTCAATATGAATATGCTGGTTTCCACTGACCATGCTAACTTACTCCCTCTTCTAAAATCTGGGTAACCTCTTTATGCAGAAGCAAACAAATAGAATACATACTCTTCCTGTAGGAGTGTTTTAACTGTGGAGTTTAACTTAGGTTAACACTATTTGGTTCTGCCTTGGACAATATACTTAAAGCTTAAAAAGATGCTTATGATACTCTTAATTACAATATTCATAATATGCCCTTTCGTTTGTCCATATAGTTATGGCTTAGATACTGAAAACCACTCCCAGTTGTCACCTAGGTTCCTCAAAAAGCAGAGCCTGAGATTAAAGTCTATGAATAGCTCTTTTTTTAGGGGTACAAATCCAAGAAGCAAGAGTGAGTTGAGGAAGCAGGGAGAGCCCAGACCAGGGTAAAATACCAAACTGGCAACCATTTGGTATTAAGCATAACTGATTATATGACTTTCAGGGTACTCTGTTCTGACAGATGCAATGGACACTTCAGGGCAGTTCATACAGGGAAGAAAGGAAGGACTGATCTGTTACCACAACTGGGTTGTTAATTCTGGGCTGCGTAGGAGTAGATGCCAAGTGGAGCCTACAGTCTCCTGTGCGTCTCACAGAGTGCACGGCGCAGTCATAAAGAGTGTGGCTGTGGATGCGTAGCACAAGAAGTGCTGTTGGTTTGTGTTTGTTGAAACCGATGAGGAGCTGTTTGCCACAGTGGTAGCTGGGCAATTCAGAATAAGGATCTAATACGCTAATTCTCTCATTCTTTACTTCAGAAAAGCCTTAGTGTGCACTCCAGAAAATGGGATGTCTATCTCACATTTATTCTCTGTTCTATTACAACAGAACGCAGTAAGAAAAACTATTTCCTATAATAAAGTTAGAGCATAGATCATGTTCAAAGTCAGAGGCTTCTAATTAAGTCCATCCAGTTCTGCTAAAGATATGAAAATTGAGGCTCCGGATAAATCCTTTAGAATTTGTTTTTATGTAACCCAGAGTACTGGGTGAGATAGGAGGGGAAGGTAGATGTCACTGTTTCACAGATGGGATCCTATTATTCACGAAATTAAATGTCTGGCCCAAGATAACCCAGTCAGCTAGCAATAAAACCATGAGAAGCCTGGTCCTGCTTTCCTCAGTCACTTTTACCCAGATGGCTTCCTCCTATTGGCCAGCCTCTGAAAAGTCTCTGCCAGGCCCAGAAGGTTTGCTGAGTTGCCCAGTGCTATACCCACCCCCATTTAACATTAATATTATTCATATGTCTCACCAATTCTCATTTTTAACAGTCTTAGGAAAATGAAAACTAATATTAATATATTAATAATAATCACAAAGACTTTGTGATACAGTATCATTATTACTCTTTATTTTTAAAATAAAAATACCTTAATTAAATCTGTTTAAAATAATTTTTTTAGTAAACTTCTCAAAATTTACCTAATAACACTGGAAATGATTTAGCCTTTTGGAAGTAACATTGAGAAAACAGGATTTATACACTTTTATGGTATAATCAGGGACAGGCTGAACTTATTAAACAAATTAAGTCGCTTTTTAAAAAAGTTTTACTTAATTGCTTAAATTAAAAAAACATTAAAATAAGCCTACATATAGTTACAAAGGATGGTATGACTTGAAAGAGTCTCTTGTAATTTTGAAAAGATGAACATGATGCATCCATGGTGTTCTAAGAATATGAAATTTTAAAAGCTAGAGACTTCAAATCCTTGGTAAAACCAGAAGAATTAAAAGATCTCAATGTGCATATTCATTTTAGTCAACCACTTTTATGGAGTGAATGCTTGTGAGAGACTGGGTGTGAGTTGACCTGGTTCCGAGGGACCGAGAAGCTGAGGTACTACTTTCAGGATGAATCGTCCGGGGATATTTTGCTGCAGCAGCTTGAGGAATGGTTTGCTGAAAAAGTTAAAAGTCTACTTTAACAATCCCGTAAGATTACACACATTAAGTGCCATTTCATTATATATAATTTAACCAAACAAACATTTGTTAAGCATCCAGTAGACAGAGGCAGTAAGCTAGGGAGGCAGCCATTAGAACAATTAAGCTGTGGTCCTTAATCCGTTAAGTTAGACTCGTGCTCAATACTCAGTATAGAGCTACCTTGCAGAGGGTCACATAAGGAGCCGTGGGAGTCACTCCACAGAGAGGATTCCAGGGGAATCCTGAAATGTCCAGAGAGGCCAAGTACAGAAAGGGACTTTATAGTGTCTGGAAGAAGGGTCAGCCCAAGCCCTCCCTCCATTCTGGTCAGTTTTCTCCTCCCTGTATCTGTGAACACACGGGGTTCAACCTCAGGGAACAAGGGGGAAAGCTCTGAGGAATCCTGCCTCGTCCTTGCTTCAAAAAAGAGCACGTGTCTCCTACCTACCTCAGCCTGGCTCACCTGGGAGCTGACTAAACCTTTTATGATCATAAGCGAAGGTATTTCCAGCAGCCTGGTGCTCCTCAGCATGGATTACAACCTTCTATACAAATAACTGGATGCTGGGGACACACACTGAGAGGAGGATACCCATGCCACGTCAGAGCTCTGGGGAACATCTGGGACGTGAGCATCGAAGCCTCAGTCGGTACAACCGACTTCACCTACACATGTAATACGTGCAAGTACAGGTTTTCTAAGTACACGTTACATGCATACACACGCATGAGATGTACCAGTACAAGGATTCCCTATACTCTGGGGCTACAGCTTCCAGTAGGCAGCAGTGGAACTCATTATCCAGTCTGCAGGCCACGGCACTGAGTGGTGCAGGCACATTCCTAGTAGAGTCTTCCACTTAGAAGAGTCCTCTTTAAAGTACTTGAAGTAAAATTATATATATCTGACTACAACATTCACTATGTATTTTAAAAAAAAACCTTTTCTTAAAAGAATAATGAATGAAAACTTTTTTTTAAAACTTTTTTAATTTTTATTTATTTATGATAGTCACAGAGAGAGAGAGAGAGAGAGAGAGAGAGTCAGAGACATAGGCAGAGGGAGAAGCAGGCTCCACGCACAGGGAGCCCCGGCATGGGATTCGATCCCGGGTCTCCAGGATCACGCCCTGGGCCAAAGGCAGGCGCTAGACCGCTGCGCCACCCAGGGTTCCCTGAATGAAAACTCTTAAAGCTGTTTGTGACATTCCGCTTTAAGAGTTCCTCCTTAAAGAAACAGAAAAATAATTTCCTGACTTTAATGTATTTTACAGAACTGTTTCACTGTACGTAAGTAACTGGATAAGCATTACAGGTGGGGAGATCTTCCAACTAGTAAGAAACTAGTTGCCAACCACCTAATCCGACCCTGTTCAGACAGCGATTTCTCCTTGGGGACCTGGGCTACAGGAAATGGAGAAACAGATTCACCCTACCACTGCTTTCATGATCTACAAAAATATGGCCGAGAATGAGGGAGCACAGGGAACAATTATCCAGCAGATGGGGCTAACGTGTCAGAAATCCATGGTTTGTTAGGAACAGCTGTTTCCAGTAGTTACAGCTCCCGATTCTGGGGATAGAGGGAGAGTACAGAGGACTGCTCTAGCTGTCTGTCATACAGTCCCACTTAGGGAATAACGGAAGCAGTTGACGGCTGTCTTGTTCACAACCAGTTGCTGGAGAAGTGTTATAGACAATCAGCAAAGGGCAGCTGGGGAGGGAAGCCTCAGAGGAGTTGTCTTTTATTTCTTTTTTTTTCCTCGTAGAATACAAATCCCTATCATTAGTACAAAAACAAAAGGCTGTCTAAATTAAAAGTAAGCATATATGTATGGTCTCTTTATGCCTTCATTATCTTACAAATGGATAGTCCCTTCTCTATACACATATGTGCTGACAAAAATAGAAATTAGTTCATTTCTTATTTCTGATAACTAATTTCACATATTCAAACATATGTCGAGAAGTCACCTAAGGACTTCAGAGTCTCTGCAACCTCTGAAGGCTGATACTCCTCCACCCTCCATATCCCCCATCTGGACTTGGTGCCTCTGTGTCTGTCTTCCACTTTCCTCTCCTGTGGCCATTCTTTACCTGAGGCTAAGTTTAAACAATCTCTCCAGCTTCTCTTAATCATCTAGCAACCATCTAGTGCCCAGAAAGAAAAGGATGCAAAATCATTTCACATATATTTTTGCTAATATTTTGACACAGTAAGTAGACAGGAATGTTGTCTAACATTGAAAATTTATGTACGGAGCATTCTCTTTTAAAATCAATTCTTGTTTCTCTTTAAGGATGTGATCTTATAACTTTCAAAAAAAAAACGTTTTGAGAAAATTGTTGATTCATATGCATTGTTAAGAAATAATACAGCAGTATCCCATGTACCTTACTCTAGTAATTTTCAAGTTCAATATGCTTATGATGTTACAATTTATAAAATACCTTTTAAAAAATATATATCTCATTCAATTTTTACATTATCTCATTTAATCCTGAATCAAGAAAATAACTGTAGGAGCGAAGTACTCTTAACATTCCCATTTTTACGCAAGAGGAAATAGAAACTCAAATCTTTTACTTGATTTGTATATAATCACAAAGGCAGTAAATAGCAAAACTGAGGCACTAACTCAGGCTTTTTTATTTTTGCCTAAATTCCAGGCATTTTCTCTTATTTCACATGAATTAATTACAACCTGAATTTCCTTTTTTCCAAACTACAAATATGCTGACAGTTGTACTGAAAAAAGGGGAAGACTTAAAAAGAGCAAAAATTAAAGACTATAAAACTATAGGGAAGTGTTTCTTGTAATTAAATACCCGCTACATGAGTAGCAGATAACGAGTAAACAGTTTTTGTCTCTTTAAATTAACGAGAAATCATGTATAGGTTTCTTTTGGTCACCAACATAGTGGATTACTTTTTGGGTTGATAATTTTTACACTGTTGAGAAGAAATGTTTCTGAAATCAATTTCCTAAAAGAGCAAAGGTAGATTTAGAGCAGGTTTGGCAAAGCAGAAGTTTTATAAAGATGATCATAGTAAAGACAGAATAAGAATCATCATAAATTTTCATCTTCTCAACATGTAATTTGTTTATTAGTCTATGAACTGAGGAAAAAGATTTTTTGACAAACGTCATCAAATATGTACTTACCACTGTGACTGGATGATGTTTCTCCACAACAACTGAGCTCATGGGAGGAGAAACTCCCATTATAGCTAAGCCGCTGCTAATTCTGTTTTTTGAGGCAAAATCACATCTCCCTGTGATCCGGGCTGTAATTGTTCTTCCAGCTTTCTGTTGTGCAGATGTTACAACTCTGGGCACATACTAAAAAACCAAAGAAATAACCAGCTGGTAGAAAATCCATGGCAAAACATATAGTACTGTTGCTTCTGTAACTTATGAGGAAAATACACAGGCATTAAAAACTAATTGTAGGGACACCTGGGTGGCTCAGTGGTTGGGCGTCTGCCTTTGGCCCAGGGCGTGATCCCGGGGTCCCGGGATCAAGTCCTGAATCGGGACTCGTCCCTGTGGGGCACCTACTTCTCCCTCTGCCTCTCTCTCTCTCTGTGTCTCTCATGAATAAATACATAATATCTTTAAAAATAAAAATTAATTGTATATTTAATCAACTTTAACACGGAAAAAAATAAATGAGACAAAAAGCCAAACAAAGAACCAAGCACCCCAAAACACCCCCTTAATCTTGGGTGTACCCACCATACTATAGACTTAAAAAACTCTTTATTTTGAAATAAATACAGATTCATAGTAAGTTGCAAAGATAATACGGAGAGGTCCTTTGTATTCCTCACCTGGTTTCCTGCCATGATTACATCTTACCTAAGTACAGAATTATGATGTCAAAGCCATCATGTGTACAATGCCTTGGTTAACAGATCTATGTCATTTGAACACATCTACATTCCTGTAACGATCACTGTAATCAAGACACGGAACTATTCTAGCACCACAAAGGTCCCCCTCTTGTGACCCTTTAGAATCATATCCATTTCCCTTCCTCAACTGCCCCTAACCATGGCAACCATTATTCTGTTTTATAAACGCTTTTGATCCTTATGTATAATTAATATTATACACATGCTTTTCATTAGACATATGCTTGTGTGCTCTTTTTTCCTATTGCTTTGTTAAATTTTTTTTTTTTAAGATTTTATTTATTCATGAGAGACACAGAGAGAGAGGCAGAGATGCAGGCAGAGGGAGAAGCAGGCTCCATGCAGGGAGCCCGGCGTGGGACTTGATCCCGGGTCTCCAGGATCACACCCCAGGCTGAAGGCGGCCGCTGATCAGGGCATCCGGGCTGCCCGTTAATATATTTTCTCATGAATACAGAGACCTGCTATAATTTTTAATGAGAGGTTTTAATACCAACAAAGTACAGTTTATCTAACTCAGTTATTTTCCTATTATAGGAAACAAATTTTTGTAAATGAAGATTCCTTTTCTTTTGAGAGCTATTTCTGTAGAATATTTCACAAAAATGAGATGACCGTATCAAAAGGTAATGTCAGCTTTTACAGCTTTCGTTACTGCTGGATAATATTCCAGAAAGGTTCTATCAGGAATAACATATATTTGATTTAATTTGTGGTTTCTTATTAATGTTTCATACTTATAGTTCATTTTGTCAACTATCCATTTTCTTTAATTACTTGCCAGGAATAGGTATTGCTCTCAAAAATGTTCAATGGCTCCTAATGAATGTTTAAGGGCTCCTGATACAGATACTCATCTCATAGTATTTTTCCTATTTCGTTTTATTTATTTTTCATGCACATAAATTTAAAAAATCATCGCTAATTTTGTCATTAATTTCTTCCATAATTGAATCAACCAGCCTGCTTTGGACAGCTGGGATAATTATACTCTTCTAACGTTTATTTATTTGGGTTTAATTTATTAAAACATTTACAATTTCAGTGTGAATTATGAATCTAATTTTCCCTCTAACCATAATTTTTCCAAAAGCATTATGAAATAGTGATCTTTGTCCATCTGAGGTATCATTGAGTTCTTTACATATCTGCATCTAGCTACAGATAGTCATCAGCTATATACTGAAGGATGATGATAATGGGTTCCATAAGAAATGTCTCTGGGAAAATTAAAATGATAGAATATTGATGTGTTGGGAGGACGCTAGGAAAACAGCGCTCAGTGAGGTTTTGTAAATCCTTAGAGAGTTTGAATTTGAGACTTAATTATAGTTGCACAGAAAATCAAGCAGAGACAAAAATAAAGGAATCAATTCCAAGAAAAAAAAAAAGTTGTACCAGAAAGGAAATGTAGGCATAGTATACATTTGTAACTTAGCTATATTTACATACCATAAATTTAACTTAATGCAAAGATGGAATATCTGTATCTAAATATGTAAAGTGGAGGAGCACCTGGGTGGCTCAATCGGTTAAATGTCTGACTCTTGATTTTGTCCCTGGTCATGATCTCAGGGTCACGAGATGGATCGCCATGTAGGGTTTTGTGCTGACCGTGGGCCTGCTTAAGATTATCTCTCTCCCTCTCCTCCTGCGTGAGCTCTCTCACACACACACACACACACACACACACACACACACACACACACAGACACACACACACACACAGTGGATGGGGGAGGGGAAGGAATCAGGTGGTATCAAAAGGCCAAATTCTTTCATCCATAACAGGAAACAGATAATGTCTGAAATTGATGCATGTGGAAATAATGATATGAGCATATTTAGGGAAAAAAGGTAAATAGAAAAAACAGCTAATAGAATTTAAGGAAAGGGATTTGGAGGACTGTTTCTCACTATAATACTTGTAGAAATTATTTGGCTATTTAAACTACATTTTTATGGATCTTATGAATTTAAGGAACCAAAATGCAGATCCTAAGATATTTACAAATATATATTTGTAGACTGAATTCATGCTTCTGACCTTTGGGAAACTTTATTCTATTTCTTATTAAATATAAAGTATAAAAAAGGATTTTATAAACTGCCGAAGAGCCTTAAAAAACATTTTAAAATGTAAAATATAAAATTAATTGCTGGTAAGAGTATTTTTATGAAAAATTAAAAACTGAAGTACAATTGAGCTGGTAACCTTATTTCTGCCCAGTCACATTTGAGGGGTATAAACACTCCCAACCATAACAGCTGTTCTTACTTGGAGGATGAAGGAGTGAAAGAAAAACTAAGTTAGTTTTGACTAGGAGACGTGTGGAATAAGAAAATTTAGAGTAGCTGGGAAAATGCTCATGGCTGAAACCTTCACTCAGCCAGTTGAGAATTGCTTTAAAATGCCTTCAGGGGATCCCTGGGTGGTGCAGTGGTTTGGCGCCTGCCTTTGGCCCAGGGCGCGATCTTGGAGACCCGGGATTGAATCCCACGTAGGGCTCCCTGCATGGAGCCTGCTTCTCCCTCTGCCTGTGTCTCTGCCTCTCTCTCTCTCTCTCTCTGTGACTATCATAAATAAATAAAATCTTAAAAAATAAAATAAAATGCCTTCAGTAAGGGGCGCCTGGGTGGTCAGTTAAGCTTGTCTTTGGCTCCGGTCAAGATCCCAAGGTTCTGGGACGCAGCTCCACACGGGGGCTCTCCACTCAGTGGGGAGTCTGCTTCTCCCTCTACCTCTGCCCCTCCTCTCCCGCTCAGCTCTCTCATTCTGTCTCAAATAAATAAAATATTTTTTAAAATAAAATAAAATGCCTTCAGTAAGATGAAAATACATACTCCAGTAAATGAAAAAAAAAAAAGACTTTAAAAAGAAACCTTGGGATCCCTGGGTGGCGCAGCGGTTTGGCGCCTGCCTTTGGCCCGGGGCGCGATCCTGGAGACCCGGGATCGAATCCCATATCGGGCTCCCGGTGCATGGAGCCTGCTTCTCACTCTGCCTGTGTCTCTGCCTCTCTCTCTCTCTCTCTCTGTGACTATCATAAAATAAAAATAAAATAAAATAAAATAAAAAGAAACCTTTATATATTTCTCTGAATTAAATAGTTGTCTTAAATTGACTTGCATGTTTATCAAGTCCTCTTTTGGTTTTCAAATGGCATATTCTATCATCAGATTGCATTGCAAGTTTTGTTAGATTCTTGCTTTACTTGACAAAGACTGAAATGGGAAATTAGAGAAAAATAATCCACTGAGTGTAGCTTATATAAGAGAAGGCTTAATTACAACCTGTAAACCCATACTCAATTTGGCTCCACATTAAAAAGTAGCAAATTAATACACACTTTTGAGAATAAAATAATGTGTAAGATATATATAATTTTTTAAAATTTCCTGCTTTACCTGACTTTTTAACTGACTTTTTGACTAAATGACCACTTACTGGTCCCAGTCATGTTGAATCTCATTAAATTTATCAGCTTTATTGACTTGGAAAAAATGCTATAAAAACGGAAATTCTAGCTTTTTATACCCTATCAATAAAAACAACAAAATCAAAAGGATTCAGAAAGAAAAGGGAAACGACATATTTTTAAAACTCAGTATTTGTATCTTAATATTTGACAGAGACAAAACCTGATTATTGGTTAAGAAACAGGGCACTGTGACCAAACGGTCAAAAGTCTGAATACCAGTTCTATTACTTCTTATATCCACAGGCAAGTTACTCACTCCCTCTCTCTAAACCTCAGTTTCCATTTATAAAATGAGGAAAGCTGTCCAGGTGCCTAATGATACCCTCTCACTTTCCATTCAGATGAACAGGAAAGTTAAGAGGGAATCTTTACTGAAGAGCTTAAAAATCCAACTCTCAATTGTTGAAGTGTCAAAAGAATAAAGTGTCACCTATTGTCCAACCTTGTGAACTGCAATGTATTTGCTTGTATAACTGCCTGATGTTTTCTTTGAAGAGTGCTTTCCTACCATGAAATTCTGGTATTTTATTTAACAGAGTGAGGGTATCTGCAGAAAGGAAAGAATTTTACAGGTGAAATTTTACAGGGGTTATTTTACTAGGATTATCTTATACTCCTTTCTCCAGTTGTTTCCCAGGCTCTGCGGCTTATTCTCTGTACACACCTCCTACTAAGTCTGGAAAAAGTTTTTTGAACGTTCATAGGAAGACTCTGTGATTAAAATGAAAAGAAAGATAAGCAGGCCTAGCTCAGAGATCTCTCCTTTCCCACTTCCAACACTCATGGTTTCACATTAGGTAACTTATCCAACTAATGTACTTGTTTTTAAAAAGAACCATAATAACAAAAGTAGGAAACAAGACACATTTGAGGTGAATCTGAATCTGAGTTCTGTAATTATATACAGAAGGAAGAACACCAGCATTACACTGACAGAGTGATTTGCTTCTGATTTTCTTCTCCCACTAACTGTAAAGGCTGTATTCATGTAACAAAAATTGAATGTGTATCTATTAATGAAGAAGGAAGGCTGGAAGGGCTCTCTATACAATATTTTATTTTTCAGGTTTCAAAGACTTCAAAATTATCTCAGATGATCAAATTGTTTCAAGAAATAACAAGTAGAGGGGATCCCTGGGTGGCTCAGCAGTTTAGCACCTGCCTTCGGCCCAGGGCATGATCCTGGAGACCCGGGATTGGGTCCCACATCGGGCTCCCTGCACGGAGCCTGCTTCTCTCTCTGCCTGTATCTCTGCCTCTCTCTCCCTCCCTGTGTATCTCATGAATGAATGGATGAAATCTTAAAAAAAAAAAAAAAGAAAAAGAAAAAGAACAAGTAGGTGTTAAGCATATTCATGCATTCTGTTCTTCTGTGGATGTTCAGGTTTATATATAAATGTACAGATGTACAAATGGTGTAGTCATATTTGAAGGGAATTCTGAAAAATCTAAGTCTATGTATTTTATCTGAATATGCAACAAAAGACAAACCAGAAATTTAAACAAATACTCACTGTGTTTACTTAAATGAGATCATCTGTATAGGATCACACTTGAAAATGTGTAATCATGAAAAATAAACACAGTTGAACATATGCAGAGTTGAATTTTAGTGTCTTATTTCAAAGTCAAAACTCCCTCACATACTCAAATTTCCCTTAACAGCTTTATTTTTTTAACCTCTTTGAATCAAGAGCAAAAATGATAAACAGTAGATCTCAACATATTTCTCCCTGAAGTTAGTAGCTTTCAAAAGGCAGAAATTCACGTGAGCTGGAACACCCAGGATGACCAGTTGTCTGGCTGACTCAGTGCCTTCCTTCGCTGCAGAGAGTGGTCTGGGGCAGTGGCAACTGGTGACGGTCAGCCAGGGAAGCCGTAAGACACAGAACCCATTCCGCCATCCTCTGTCCTCTCAGTGGTTGGGGTTGGGGAGGAGAGGGACACAAGCAAATCCCAATCCTCTCAGGAGCTTTATAAAACTACACGTGCCTTTGTGCCTAAGCCAAGCCAGAGCAGGGAAGGTTACAGTGTTGTTAAAAAACAGCCCTGCAGAAGTGAGCCCGGTAGGTAAGTTTGGACTGAATCCTTACTCCCTTTGCTTGAGAACCACGGTTTGAAGAATACAGGATTAACAAGAAGCCCAGGAGTCAGAACCCTGACATGCTTTGTCTATAACTCTTCTAAATTAGCTTGATGAATTCCCCTTCAGGCAAGTTCTCACACAGATACTCCATCCCCATTCAATCATTCTAGCTCTACATACTTCTCTTGAAAGTAGCTCAGTGACTAGGAAAAACTACTCCCATCTTTATTCTAATGTTTTTCCAAATGAAAACCTAACCAAATCAAGATGGAGTAATTACAGAGTTGTGTTAATGATAGATCTGCATCCAGGAAAAGGGAAAGTTGTAATTGAATACAAAATGTACAAAAGAGCCATTGATCTTCTAAGCCCTTGAAAATACCCACTAGGGTTCCCTTAAAAATAAAAAAGTCCATCATCAACTCTTTCTCAAATTTATTTTTCCTGAATAGTTCTTGAAAAATGGGAAATGAGAAAGTTATTTCTGTTTAATTATCACTACTATATTTGAACTTTCAAATATTATTTTCATTTTAAATTGTTTTAGCCACTTCACATATTAAATATTTTCTGTAGGTTGGTCTAAATATCATTAAGACTTTTCCTCCATGAGAAAATATATTCTAAGTTAAAAATACCCAATATACAAGCAAGGTTTGAGCCCCTTTCCCCACGAGAGCACCTGTATTAACTGTACTAACCATTTCTTCTGGTGCAGCAGTAGCTGTAGGTCCAGCGCCAAGAGCTGCAGAAACGGGAGGGTGAGTAGAGGAAGCGGAAGCAGGCCCAGCAGAAGAGATGGAAGCAGCAGAGGGAAAAGCAGCAGTGCTGGCTGCTCCCATGGCTGCTGGTGGTGGGGACGGTGGCAGTGCAACCACTGAGGGCATCGGAGGGGCCAGAGGATCCAAATGAGCAGAATGTTCTTTTCCTTGAATGCCAGGGCCATACTCTTCCTTTTTATTATTTGTGAAGTCTATCCCTACAAATTACAAATTCATCAAAATTCTTCCAAGCTAAGGTTAGTCTTATGTCCCCCAACAATGAAACTACATAATAGCTAAAATTTGGTTCTAAAGAAAATGTAGAAACTTGTCACGTACTGCATACAATGTTTAGCTAATATAGTTTGTCATTATTAACTGATTAACGTCCACATTAACTATTAGAAACTTCAGACCATTTCCTTCAACATGTGAACACTAATGAAGAACTGCTTGTATGTAAAAGATAAAAATAAGTATCTATTCAGCTAGGATGTCAGCTGAGTAAACTGTATTATCAAAAAAGTCATTATAATAATTTGGTCACATTAAGTCTAAGGATTTATGTTTTTTTAACATCATTTCATACAACTGTCCTGATCGGGGATCCCTGGGTGGCGCAGCGGTTTGGCGCCTGCCTTTGGCACAGGGCGCGATCCTGGAGACCCGGGATCGAGTCCCACGTCGGGCTCCCGATGCATGGAGCCTGCTTCTCCCTCTGCCTGTGTCTCTGCCTCTCTGTCTCTGTGACTATCATAAATTAAAATAAAAATAAAAAAAAAATAAAAATAAAAAACTGTCCTGATCGATGGTCTGGTATTTAGATCTGTAGAATTCTTTTCTGCTATCACTATACCCTCTCATTTCCATCTAATGCTCCTATTCAAACAAAATCAATGTATTTTAAACTTGATTTTTCAGCAAACCATAATAAATCAGTATGTAACCCTAAAATTTTTACCTTTAACACTGTAAAATATAAAGCACAAAGTAAGGTATATTTGCATACTTAATTGACTTCAGTGACACACTATATATTAACCTTCTCTCAAAACTGAACCTTACCCTTAGATCAGAGTGAGTAACATCGGCTTCCAGATGCTGGAGCAAAGGGTTTCTTCAAATTTTAGATTTGAAGAATTTAGATTTGAAGATTTGAATTTAGATTTGAATTCTAAAACCCCCAGTTTTAGAATTTGGTTAAAATTCCCACTTAAGACTATACCTATGTGGCACCTGACACCAGGGTGAGGGTTTGGAGATTCAGTCACTGAAACGTTTCAGAATGTCTGAACAGAGGGTGTTATGCAGCCCTACATTCAAATGGTCTCTTCCCATTGGAAATTTGGGCTTCTGTGTAAGTCCTTCTCTCAGGCTACCTTTACATAAAACAGAGTAATAGTACCTCATTAACAAAGTTTAATGAGGGACTATAATGCATAGATCCTTTGAAATCCTTTGATGAGAGGGACTAATTCAATATAAAGCAGTGTTGACAATTAAAAGACCATTTATTGGAGAAATCAAGCACTTCTTTGGGTATTAGCAGGATAAACTAGTCTGCTCTGAGATTCTAAGTTTCTAACCTGCAAGTGGACCACACACCATGGTTGCTTCAGACAAAAGTTCCTTGCCTTAACGGCTACCATACACAACACACACAATTTAAATAATAATGTTTGAAGATGTTTTAAAATGAAGGTACAACAACCACAGAAGTTATTCACTGGATTGGAATGTTAATGGTGTTACAAAATGAAACCGACTCATTGATAACTGTGAGTCTCAAATACGATTTAATATGAGGATATACTGTAAAAAATGATTATGTATTTACATAAAATCGGCTGACTTAATATCATTACTATCATCTTACATATCAAAGTATTTTTTTGTCTTTTAAAGAGCTTCCGATTATATTTCACTGCATTTCCACAAGAACCCTCTGTGAAGCAGGTAGGAAAGATTTACATTGTCTTCTTTGTTCAGAGAAGAAAACTAAAACCCAATAAGGAAAATAGACCTTGGTGCACATTACTGGCAAAGATTCTAGCCATGTGCTAATAATCTAAGTCCTGCTGAAGAAACACCCACATAAACAGATCCCAGCTAATACATGGACTTCTCTTCTTAAAATAAATTAATTTTAGTTGAGGCCTCTCTTAAATTGGAAACAAGCAATTTTTAAAATGGGAAGACATGACTAGATAAATCTTTAATAAACAAAATAGCCCAAGGCACTTGGCAAATTAATTAATTAATTAGTACTTGAAGGCATTGAAATTATTAGTTGAAAGAGCCTTAAAATGTTTTACATTCAAAACATCATTTTAACATTGAGCCTAAACACTTAAGAATTGAGAGTTTACTTGATCAAATCTAAGATACTATAAGTAAGCAAAATGGAGTGACTTTTCATGGCAGAATTGAATTGGAGAGGATACCATCAAGTAAGAACTGTACCTGGATAAGACAGTCACTGCAGAAAATTAGTACCACAGACCATAATAATCACTGAAATCTCCTCAAATCCTTTTTGAAAGTAGGCAGAGAACCTTAAATAAAATACTAACCTGTATCACCTCTGTTTTGAAATATAGTCATGGCTTCGAGATTTAATGCACACACTCCCCTCATGAAGGCTTTCTTCATGGAATCTTCAAAATGCTCTTTTTCATGCTGCATTCTTTGGATCTCAGCTTTTGCATTTTCCAAAGCTCCAGATAACTAAATAAGGAGAATTTTTTAAAAGAAAAAGATATGGGACACAAGGAAGGATGTTAATTATTAAAAAAATAGACTTACCCTGTGATGTTATTATTTTTTTTAATAAAAGGCAGGTTGTGTTTTTATTTAGAGTCACAAGCAGTTAACTGACTCAAAATGACTCCAAACACAATGAAAGCATTCTACTTCACTCCATTCTGAGTCCTAGGATGGCCCCAACTAACAGGCATGCTGCTTGGAGCCCATTCACAAGTTTAGTTTCTCAGTGAGGGCAATCTGTGACTATGTGATTGGCCAAGTAGCTATTGAGCATGGTCTCAACATCACTGGGGATTATCTTGTGTACTTGGTTAACCAGACTCATCAAGCAGCAGCATGAGATATTGTCAGTGGATGCCTTTCCCGACACCACATCCTCTGTATACTGCAATGCTGTGCTTAGGACATCCTAGATGTGAACTGATGCCTGTCCTACCTGCTGCAAATTGCTTGACAGTCTGTACCCTTGGTTGGGGCTAAAACAGGTCTTCAGGATCAGGTCAACTCCAATGTGTTCAGTGTCATAATATGCATATTCCACTGTCAGAGGTGTGAACATCACCTCCATGGTACTCCCAGGGACACCAATTCAAGTGCTGACGTAGGCCTTGGTGCTCATGTGGCCATTCTGGAGGCTCCTGTCCACAGTGAGGTGAATAGGACAGGGACTTCCCTGCCATAGTACCCCTGGATCAGCACAGGGTACTCTATAATGTCATGGCCTGTCAGGTACCGGCACAGGATGAGTTCTTCTGGAGAGACTATAATTCATATATACTCTCAGCGAATTTAATGTCAACAGATACCTCATCTTTTGACTCCTTGTGAGGCACTGAAAAGCAGCTGTTAGTGATTTCCACTGAATGCTTGTCAGCGGTTCTCAGCAGGGTCCTAATAACGGGCAGCACCCTCGTTGCATGGTGGCTGTCCATGATGGAAGCCAAAATGGCCCGAGTGCAGCCAGACCACACAGCTGCAGGGGGAAGGGGTAGGCGAGGGGCAAAGATGCCTGGGAGAGCAGGAGTGGGGCCTAGACCAGAGTCACGGTCCTAGCAGTTTTGCCATGGGGTCTACAGATGAGGCTGGAGCCAGCACTGGAGTTGGAACCAGCGCCAGAGCGGGAGCTGAGGCCAGGGCTGGAGCTGGAGTGGTGGCAGGAGTATTTGCTGGTGCTGCTGGTGTGGCCATCTTGTCAAGCTGTGAAGTTATTTTTATGTGACATACTAAAAACACTTTACCTCTTCTGCTCTGTATCTGTTTATTTTAAAAGGTGCATTTATTTCTACTGTCTCCATCAACAAACCGTTTTCATTCCTCACCATAAAATCAAGGTTCAGACAAGGGGAATTTCATACCAGTCCCACCAAAGGTTGCTGATGTGTTTTAATTATACAAACAGACATGTCATTTCTTAACACAAAACTTTTTTTTTTAATTTTTATTTATTTATGATAGTCACACACACACACACAGAGAGAGAGAGAGAGAGAGAGAGAGAGAGAGAGAGAGAGAGGCAGAGACACAGGCAGAGGGAGAAGCAGGCTCCATGCACCGGGAACCCGACATGGGATTCGATCCCGGGTCTCCAGGATCGCGCCCTGGGCCAAAGGCAGGCGCTAAACCGCTGCGCTACCCAGGGATCCCAACATAAAACTTTTATAGAGAATATTAAAATACCGATCTCATCTCTTCAGAAAAAAAATACCTAAGTGCACTATTAACATAATTTTTCTTCCTTTTTTAAAAAACTGTTATCCATAGAATTCAAAGTGCAGAGGGACATCAAGCACAACACCCATAGACCAAATTAGAAGAGACTGCATTTCTTTTGCATGTCATTTTGAATTGCAAAAATTTGTATAGTAAATCTTATTTTTAGCATTAAGAACTTAGTTCTATAATGGAAAAAGGTTTTTCTTTTAATATTTGACTTCAAGAGACCTACTGCATTCTTCACTATGGTTTTTATTTCATTTTGGGTCTCAAATATTTTCCCTTGGAAACAATGTTTATTAATAAAAGTCAATGGGAAAATAATTTTAATTTATATGCAACTGCTTTATATCAACCTTATCAGAACATAATTTACTTAAATTAACATAAGGATAAACATTTTTGTTTCGGGTCTTTACTTACAGCTCAATAAAAGTCAAATGAAGCAGGAAAGGAAAGCATGCTTTCTTAGAAACATAGGATTCTATAGGTGATTTACATTTCCAAGGGAAATGGATATGCTAGAGATCCAACAGAAGTATGGAGTTCAGAGAATTATGTCTGTGGATCCAACTTACTAGCGTTCTTTGCTAGGAAGTCTTGTTTGAATCTATAGGGCATTAAATGGAACTGGAGAAATGGGTTACTGTGCTGAACTATAAACTAACGGGTTTTTATCTTTTTAATTTTTATTAAAAGAAAGTGAAAGTATGAGAAAAAGTTTACCACAGCAACTCTGGTTTCATAATCATTGGAAAGCTGGACACAAACTTCTTCCGCTCTTGCCTGACAAGCTCTTTCCACCACATCTTTCCACTGCTTCTGTACTATGGATCGCCAGCCCTTCCAGACTTTCTTCAGTAAAGTTCTCTGGAAGTACTGGTCAGCCAGTTTACCTTCGTAGACCTAAATGAAAGTAATACGCAACCTCAAAAACACAGTGGACTGGTAAATATATTGGCAGTGACGTTAAAAACCATAATGTAACACTGCTAAGCAGTGTACATATGTTATCATCTAATCCTGTGTAATCACATTATTCTCATCTGCAGACAGGAGGACAGGCTTAGAGAGGTTAAATAACCTGCCCAGGTCACACAAGTAGAAATGGAAAAGCCAGCCTTGTCTCACTTCAGAATCCAAGCTCTCATCCTTATATCATCCTATATGCCACCAATCAAGTTAGGAGTAAAAAAACAAAACAAAAACAAATGAAGGAAAACTAGTAACTTGCCCATTGGGGGTAGGAATGAATAGCACCTTTTACTTGAAGGCAGGTCTAGGCGAACAACAGAGAATGGCTGCAAGGCAGAGACGGTGGTGGCTGTGGCTTCAGGTGGCCACCACTAGAAGAAAGGCTAATTTAATTTACACACTTTGCCATCATATATAGCACCAAATAGATCCAAATAGAAACCTATGCCAGTCTTCTTTTATCAATGAACTTAAAGTCTTTGGAAAAAGTAGTTCCAATTTCAATTTTCTTAAATTTAAAAAGCTATTCAAAAAACTGATGGCAGCCGCAACTATTTCAATATTTAAACATAATATATTCTCATCATTTCACTTGGTAAATAACTTTCAAAATATGGCATGCTCATTTAAGTAATTCTTTTCAATATAATTAGCATAAATTAATCTACTGGGATTAATAAAAAAAGAAAGAAAGCACTAGAAAGTATCCTTCAAAGAGAAATCCTATTCCATGATAGTAGTAGCCTTTTCCTTAAGTATTAATCTCTTAGAAGTAAACCCACAGAGCTCACTCCATGGCTCACATGAGCATCAAATAAAACACACACACACACACACACACATCCATTCTGTACACTCTTGAGTCTCCATACTTTGTATTCTTGTTGGATATACATGGATTCTCACTTTTCCACTTCTGATACAGTAATTTATTCTTCTTAGTTCATATTTGCTCTGCTACACTGATTTAGCTCTGATTTAATTAAAATAAGATGTTCAAGTGTAAATTATAAACAAACTAAAGATAATTTTTAAAAAGCTATACAGATATGGCTTTTTTGGTTCTCTGAGGCAAATCTACAATAGACATTTACACAATTTTATAATATATCAATATAGTACTTCCTCTTTATGAAAAGGATATATTCAGGCATTTCTGAATTAGCAACAAATAAGAAGTATATATGTTAAAGATTGTAAATTCTTTCTCCACATCTGACATTAAATTTGTTGAAGGGGTTCCATGACAAGGGAATCTGTAAGTCAGGTATGATCGTTACTAACTTTATTAAGTAGGAAACCATATAAATCAGTCTATAAAATATGAGGGGTTTTTTCCCCCCAAACTATACCAAAATCAAATTCCCTTGAAATAAGAGCAATATTAAATTATAAATTCATTTTGATTTATTAGAAAACAAATCTCCCTTTGACTTTAATGAGAGCGCTAAAATGTGATCCTAAACTCTTTTGAGTTCAGAAGTCTAATATCTATCAGTTATCATTTTGTTTTTATACTTACATCCTGTCTGGATTTAACATGGCCAATTCGCCAGTGGAAGAATGTTCTCATCAACTCTATCCTTTCCTTTTGTTTGCCTATGGCATGCGACAAGCTAGAAATCACCTGAAAACAGCAATTAACCCAATTATTGCGATGTTATAATAACAGTAATTGGTAAAGTAACTTGCTTATATATCAAAAAATGCCCTAGAGAATTCCTATATGTCACTAGTCTATTCATCCAGTTAACCTCATTATTATCTGTAAAAAGACCAAAAAACTTGACCACATGAATGTACTATGTATCAATGAATGAAGGGGAACAAAAGAGAACAGTAAGAGAAATCTTCATTATGTGTATCACGGTAATCCTCAAAAAGTTCACATATATGAAAATTAATATGGTCATTGACATTTAATTCAAGAAAGATAACTACACATTTGAATATTTTGCTACATATACAGAAAGTCTTTGTTCACTAGGCTTGAGGGTAGGACCAGGTTTTAAACATCTTTCTGGTCTCTAAATACCTTTGGTACCTTGGATTAGAAGTTGTTCAATAACTGTTTAAGGATTTTCTGGAGTCAACAAACTCATTAAAGCAAACAATAGTTATCCTATAATGTACTTTCTCAGGTCTTCTTGTTCTTTAAAAAAAAAAAAAAATCTACAAAGGTGTTTAAATCCTAAGATGGTATTTTCCCTTAAAAAGAACTGAATAACTAAAACACATATTTTAAATTGGCCACCTTAAAGCAAAATTTAGTAAATTGGGTATATTTATTTTACTTTTTTTCTTTTTAAGATTTTTAAATTTATTTATTCATGAGAGACACAGGCAGAGAGAGAAGCAGGCTCCCTGCAGGGAGCCCAATGTGGAACTTGATCCTGGAACCCTGGGACCACACCCAGAGGCTGACACCCAACCGCTGAGCCACCCAGGCATCCCTATTCTGGCTTTTCTTTAAATTATTGTCAAAAGTGGAAAAGGGCACACATTCTAAGACATTAGTAATATTCTATTTCTCGAGCTCTATGGTAGCACACAGCTGTTCATCTTATCCATTTTCAAAAATTAGACACATGTACACTCTTTTGTGTGTGATACTTTGAAATTAAAAAACATGCATTTAAAATATTTTAAAATCTTACAACAGAATTTTGAGGGGAATAGAGAAAATGACTGACATTAGTATCTACTGCTTCAAAAAAAAAGAACTATATAAAATGTTTGATTTTATAGGATACCCTGAACATTAAAAGAAATGTGTGTGTGTGTGTGTGATATGTCTTATTTCTGTGCATCTACTTTTTTTTTTCCAGTTTCTGAAGCAAACTTCCCTTTGTATCATGTATGACTTGAATACATTTAAGTATTACTTGGCATTTATTACCTAGCAAGATTTTTACTGCATCTCACTTAAAAAGAAATATAAAAGTGAAGACCTCATCTTTTCTCCCAATGGAGACTTCATAGGCTTTCTGCAGCTCCTTCAAGCTGTTGATCTGGTTGCACAGTTGTTTTAAGTGTGCTGCGTGTTTTTCTTTCTCTTTTTTCATTTCCATTCTGTGCCAGTCAATAAAATTAAGTCTCCATTTGCTTAGTTCAGATATGATGTTTGTCTGAAAAATAAATACACCAGCAATTAAGTTTAATATTGCTTCTTAAAATTACACTGAAATTAAGACATATTAAAAATAATCAGAACAAGCAATCAACATTAAGAGCTATTTATAAAAACCACTAATGAGAACCTTTTTAAGTTCAACCGTCACGGCTCTTCTCAGTTCATATTTGCCATACTAAGGAAATGAATTTTTTTCCTATTTTAAGTTACTCTCTATGAAAGCTGGTTGTCCTTTAAAAAAAAATTCAGGTCTCCTCCACCAGTAAACAGATACTTTATTTATTCAGGACTTTAATGTCCATATTAAGATGGAAAGAAGAAATGCAAGGGTTATGGCCTAGGCTCAGCCATAGGACAGGAAGTTATTTAGATAGAGGCGGACAATGGAAACCATGGGGATTGATGCTTTCCTCCCCCACATTATTTATCACAAAGGCCACCTTACAACAAACTGTTAAGTGTGGTCCCTTTTCACCCTACTAACTACCGTAAGTAAAAATACCAAATCATCATGTTATCAAAGAAACTGGGTGACAATATGATTAACTGAACGTAGAACAAATTAGATGACTGGCTACTCCAATGGACTTACACCATGACTGGAAGCATGAAACCTGTTCCAATGGGAGAAATGGTAAAAATTATACTAAAATATTATTTCTAGAATTTATGGTTTCAAATAATAGAGAAATATAAATGCCACAGAACTCTCATTAGAGTAATTTCACTGTGAAGGTGAAATCAGTTTTTTCAAACTGTGTCTCAGAAACACTGTCATTTTCTCCATTATATATTAAATAGCAAAAAACCCCTGCCATTTCTATAATACTGTTTTATTTAGAGGCCAATAATATCACCAAAATAATCAGTTTTTATAGACTTCTCAGTTACACACTATGGTTGCTTTAATAAGCAGCTATAAAATGAATATATGTTGCTAAAACTGGATGCTGTGTTTCAGACAAAAAGAGACATGATATGGTAAGGGTTCGATAAGGGTCTCTGCTACACATAGGCTGAGTCTTTAAAAACATCTGAGAAATTCAGTGGAACCTGCAGAACTATTCCAGCAACTGCTGAAAAGTATGCTATTCAAAGTATGGGTCCTGAACTAGCAGTGTCAGAGCTTGTTAGAAGTGCATGACCTCAGGCCCTCGTCAAGACCAACAAGGACAAGCTATAGCTTAAAAGGATCCCCAGATGATTTGTATGGACATTACAGACTGAGAATTGTAGATTTAAAACACCGGACTAATCTTCTCAGGAAACTAAAGACTTTTTTCACAAAATCTTTTGATTCAAAGAAAAGAACAATAGATAGTGGGATCAAGAGCAAAACTGTTATACTACATATTAAACTGTAATTGAATAAGCATAATACCTTAAGTCCTGAACTCCAAAGATCAAGTACATTTTCCATCTTCTGAAGGTTTTCATCAGAAATAAGAAAATCGCTCACAACGATCTCATGGACGTCTGCATGACTAGAAATAGACCCTGGTGAGGAAGAGTCACCTAAGAGGTTAGAACTGAAAAAATCCATGACTGGGTGTGAGGGCTTCCTTGGTGATGACACTGGTGATGACCCTGGAGAGGAGGGAAAGATGTCGTGGTCAGGCTGGAGAAAAGATAACCCAAATGTAAGGAGTTCTAATAGACAGTAAGATGTCAGTTACCTACAGAGGTGGAGCAAAATGCAGAGAAATGACTTTTTAGTGTACTTTTTAAAGATTTTAAAATTTTATTCATGAGACACAGAGAGAGAAAACAGAGACACAGGCAGAGGGAGAAGCAGGCTCCTGGCAGGGAGCCCGATGTGGGACTCGATCCCTGGACCTGGGATCACAACCTGAGCCAAAGGCAGACGCTCAACCACTGAGCCATCCAGGCATCCCGTTATAGTGTACTTTTAAATTAAACTGAGCACAGTCTGAAATTAATACTGTAATTTCAGTATTGTCACTGATTCAGGACTAACCAGCCCAAGATGCCTCCTATACTCCCTCCCCCCAAAAAGGACCTCTATCCCAAACAAGGATACTTCATATATCCAGGTCCAGCCTGAGCTAAAGTTATTCTCATCTGCATCACCATATTAATTAACATTTACTAAGTGCTTGCTATGTTCCTGTAATAGTGTTAGAAAGATGAGCTCTGGGCAGCCCGGGGGGCTCGGCAGTTTGGTGCTACCTTCAGTCCAGGGAGTGATCCTGGAGACCCGGGATCGAGTCCCGCGTGGGGCTCCCTGCATGGAGCCTGCTTCTCCCTCTGCCTCTCTCTCTCTCTGTGCCTCTCATGAATAAATAAATAAAATCTTAAAAAAAAAAAAAAAAGAAATATGAGCTCTCCTATTATACGCCACCAAAAGAGTCAGGCATTACTATCTCCACTTTACTGATGAAGAAACAGGTGCAGAAAGAGGCAACTAACCAAGGTCCTGGTGGTTGTATATAGGTGATTATTACTTCATGTAAAACACTGGTATGGGTTTTAACACCACCAAAATTCAACTCTATAAGTAGAAAGAGACTAGTAGTTTAGTTTTATCAGATAATCAGCTGTAAGGCACACTGTTAGCCTTCAACATATAGGTGAAAATATATATACATCTCTTTCTATATATATCCATATATACATAATTCCCATCCTCTGCCCACAGACATGGTGGCAGGGTGGGGGGTGGAGGTAGGGGTGAAAGCCAGAGCCAGAAAAACTGGCATCTACCTTTAAAAAGCACAAAGTAGGAAAGGTTACTACTTTATCACACATGCACGTTGGAATTAGAGACCGTTTATCATTTCTCACGTATTTTGCTTTTCTTAGGAGGGTCCTGATAACCAAGATTAAAAGGCCCCCGTCTTCCTTAGTGAATGAGTCAAACAAAGGTAAAGCTACTACAGGAACTTACTTAAAAGTAAACCAAGAATGTTTTGCAAAAAGGATAATCATTCCCTAACATATATTTTTATATAAAAAATTTATCAACAAATAGTTCAGGCTAGTCAACTATGAGACACTACGTATTCTGAAGAATAAACCCAAAGAATAGAGTGACAGAGTACATGAATGTTCTCTTTCACTAACAAGAGTTGCACTTGTGGAAAAGCAAGAGGCTCTGCTTTTTAAAAAATTTTTAAACATTTATTCACCTTTTACAAAATAGAATGACCTAAATGAAGTACTTGAAATATCCCCCGGGGAGTACAGTGCCCAAGCCTTTTATTTACAAGTGAGGAAATAAAGGATAGAGGCACTCTTTATGTGGTGGCTTAAATGGCCTATACGTCATATAACATCGAGTCACAAGGCAAGCAAAGTGTCCTATTTTAATTATTTCAATCATTCTATGTCAAAGAAAAAGTTTCAATCTGGTACTAGTTTGCTTTTATAATCTCTGTAACACAAGTTAATCTCTCCTTTAAACAAAGAAAAAGCAAACTTCAGGCTGAACCCACCACCACTAGCAGTATTCAACCAAAACTTAATAATTTTGTCTGAGTTGCTTTTTACCGACTGTTAAAAGGGTATATTAGTTTTATGCTATAATCAGTAATGACACACACCAATTTTCCTTTTAATGAATTTAAGCTAAAAATAAATATATCTGAAGAAAACCAAAAAATGATAGAACAAGTGATATAAAGATAGGACAAAAATAATTAAGTTGGTACACAAATGCCTGAATGTTGGGAAATAATGCCCTGGTTCATAAAAACATTTAAAATGGCCAAGCTCTCTGACATTCCATTAATTCTTTTAAAGTATTTGCCTGCTAACCTAGCAGTTTTAAGAAAGGATGCCATACACTATTATACATTAACCTGTCTTAATTGTACTATTTTGGAATTTTATGAAATTACTTTAAATAAAATTAGTTAATAGATTAGCAACAGCAATATTAAAGAATCCTGCCAATAAATAATATGGTGAAATTATTCCTCTTATTACACAAATAATATTCACCAAACCATACAATGTTATATATTAATAAAAACAAAGTAAGGCAAAGGCATACCATCTGTCTTTGAATGACTTGAAATATTCAAATCACATCCTTTCCCAACTTCCATCCTTGATTCTCTTACTACAGGGCTATTTCCTGCTGAAAAGAATTATTATTTTTTTTTTTTTATTAAACCAAACTACTCATATCAAAGGTCTAATGACACATAGCTAATTTAAGAAGGTAAGAGTGTCTACAACTTTAGAGCAAGCAAAATACAACTGCTGGGGATACAGGGACACCAAGACAAAGAACAAGAAAGAAAAAGTCTGAGACTAGAAAAAGTCTTACTGTATCACTAGTTAAGCTCAAATTGACCCATCAAACAGAGCTGAAAGAGAATGCAGCCTACTGCAGCATTTAGTCCACGCTAAGAGACTAAGTGGATGACTGGCATTAGAACTTAGGAGCTACGCTAAAAACACTGGTTGTTTCCAGGGGCCTGGGGCTTTTCACTAGCTGCAATCAAACTAAAGTGACACTGGTTCCCCCAGAACAGGGACTGAGTCAATACACGGCAGAAAGAAAACAGAGGAAAACTTCACTAGAATGGCTGTGCTGGAGGCTTACATATACTCTGCCAACTTCAAAATACACCCTACTTATACCAAGTGACAGCAAATGGGATGATAAATGCATATATTCCAACCATGCCTATGTGTGAATTGGGATATGTAAATTCACTGCCTGCTGTGTGCTTAGATCTCAAACCCTTTGTGGAAAAGGCAGAGTATGAATGAATGAATACTAACTTGCATGCTAGAGAAGAACAAGGGTTTTATTTATTTATTTTTTAAGATTTTATTTATTTATTCATGAGAGACAGAGAGAGAGAGAGAGAGAGAGAGGCAGAGACACAGGCAGAGGGAGAAGCAAGCTCCATGCAGGGAGCCTGACGCGGGACTCGATCCCGGGTCTCCAGGATCACACCCTGGGCTGAAGGCGGCGCTAAACCACTGAGCCATCCAGGCTGCCCAGAACAAGGGTTTTAAATTCCAATTGATGTCCCTGAAAGGCTGGCAAGTCGGGGCAAGGAAAGGACTCCCACTTTGTGTCTCTGGGAACAACAATACAGTAGGACTGCAGCCAGTGGAAAAGGAAACAAGCTTTTGGTAGAAGCACAGAGGGTGAACACATGGATTGACTATTTACATATTTTATAAGACAGTACGCAGCACTTTGGGTTTGCTCAGTAGGAACTACAGGCTGAGGTCAGGATCATGGTCAAGATCACTATGTAAAATGAATAAATCCCAGTGTCCTATCTCTTGAGGATCAACTAAAATTTAGGCAGAAAATATTCAGTGTTAGAATGTTTCAGTGGCATGTTCTGCCCTTGATCCACTGCAGTAGGCGGAGGACAGACGAGCAATGAAAACTCCAGGTTTGCAGAGGGAGAGGAACCAAATATCAGGGCTGCAATTTCCCAGAAACCCAAGAGCCTGCTGACTCCGATTAGGCTGCATCATGTGCCTTCAAGGAGAGATCCTCAGAGTTATGCCTATTGTTGACAACTGCCCATTGCCAGGGCCATCTTAGGGGACCTTTCTGTGCCCTTTTAAGTAATATTTACTTAGTGAGCTGTTTGGAATCTTGCACTTTAGTGAATAAGGAATGGATAGGTGGAAGGAGTTTTACCCTCCTTTCTCCAGCTTTCATTCATCTATCAATATACATTCTGGTTTGTGTTAGCTTTCAGTACTGTCACTGACATAGTCCAAAATGGGTTCACCTTTGTGGTGATTTCAGTCTTCCATACTCACAGAAACGCTACCAACCATGCCCCAGCAAAGGGCAGTTATCAACAATAGGCATAACTCTAAGGATCTCTCCTTAGAGGTTTTTTTTTGTATATTTTTTATTGGAGTTCGATTTGCCAAAAATATGGAAGGCTTCACAATTTGCGTGTCATCCTTGCGCAGGGGCCATGCTAATCTCTGTATGGTTCCAATTTTAGTATATGTGCTGCCAAAGCCGAGCACAACTTAAAAAGTTCTGAGGGCTACCTATGGACCACCTTTAATTTGGGGCCTTGGGCATTTAGTTTCCAAGGTAATCCTGGTATCTAACGATTGGAACAAGCAGAGGTGCAGTATACTCCACTGAGGAATGTACAATGACTACTGTGTTGCTTTAATTATTATTTTTCATATAAGTAGCACTCAAACAAAATTCACATAAAAATCCAGCTGTCACGTAAGAGAGATAAACATACTGAAATGGAAAAAGTTCCTCCAGATGATAGTGATACACAGGACTGACTGAGAAGAATCACTGGCGAAACATTTTCACAATCATAGGTCAATAGCATTAATGAGCTCAGTAACATCCTAAATTAAGAGATATCTTTAAAAATATACATAACCTTGATTATGAAGAACATCATCAATTACAGCAGGAACCCTAACATCTGGTACCACTTCTCCCTTAGAATGACATGGCTGTGAAGCATCTGATTCAATGTTTGGAGTCACAATGGCATAACGAAGCAGTTCTTCATATTCTTCCTATGAGAAGCCAATAACAAAGAATATATTTATTATAACACATTCAGGCAAAGAACAACAAAGACACAGTTAAACATGTTCTCTACTTCAATTCTCAAAATAGCATTCCCATGTCATAAGCAATGTGTATTCCTTAAAAACAATAAAATCCAACAAATAAACCAATCCAAGTTTCTTCCAGTGATAGTACCTTAGTACACAAATTCCTTCGGCGTGTCTGTCAATTTAGCAGTGGTGACACAAATTACCTAGTGTAGTTGCCTGAAGCCAACCAACAGCTACAAGGCAGAAGAGCCCTCCCTCAACTGGCAGCTGCTTGCAGGCTGGCAGAGACACCATTAGCCGCTTCTCTGCTTTTCTGAAACTTAGTTTGAAGATGTTGCTCCCAAAGACTCCACAATAGGATAGTCTAGGGATGAAAAGTAGTTTTGACTCTGCTTACTGACAGCCACCATCCAACAACAGCCACTCAGCAACAACTCTGGGTCTCTCTTCACAGTATGAAAAGAATATAAGGGAAATACTGGAAGAGGACAAATATTGACGATAAAGAGACCATGAATGTAAACTTGTTTCACTCTATCTGCTGGCACCTTCATAGCACATGAGAAAGGAGTGATAAAAAAGAGGTTACGAAGTGTAGACCTTACAGTAATTCCTCAGGCTTAAAAAAAAAAAAAAAGAATTTCCTAGCGCAAATACTTAGCTATTTCTTTAGCCAAATCAAAAAATGTTATTTGTGAAGTAAAAAAGTATACTGGAATTTAGTCTCTATTCACAAGGTATTGGTATGATGTAACAAATATTCCTCCTAAGCAGTTACTTTTAAGAGTATTGCATGGACCCACAGAATGTCTTTGCATTAAAAAAATTGGGGGGAAGATTTTCAAGAATGCTAAATGTTATTATTCCATGGGATTATTCTGTGTTAGTTTTTCTCCATAAGAAGTTTAGTTCAGATACAGAACTATCTTCTCAATAGTCCTAATTGTCTTATTATCTGGATTCATCTCCAGTATGAAGATAATCGATGCTCAAAACTACCTCTTTGAAGGGTCATAGTCAAGACCTGCTGAAGCGAACTGAGTGAATTGTCGAAATCAACGAATTATCTTTAATAAAATCATTATATGGTATACGCATTGGAAATTAGCAATTTTTGCTCTTTCCCTATGATTTTCTATGAGTAAGAATATTTAACTGCCCACCACACCCAAGTTTCCAGCCATGGTTGTATCACAGTTAGCTGAAGTAAGTGTCTTCATGTTTCCCAAAGGAAACCAGTCCCTCCCTATGAGAGTGAGAAGCTGTGCAGCAGCAAATGACTTCAGATCATGTTACATGCTTATCATATTACAGTCTTAGCACTTATTCCAAGTTTGAATCTTCTGGGTGTTTCTTGTGTGATTTTTATATTACGAAAAGTTTGAAGAAGCAACCAATTTTGTTGGTGATTCCACACTGAATCAAAAATTTTCTATCAATTTTTTTTATGGTTTTGATCAGTTTATTTGAAGAGGAGATACATTTTTAAGAACCTACCAATTTTTTTTCTTTCTTTGAAAAGATTTTATTTTTTTTCATGAGAGACACACAGAGAGAGGCAGAGACACAGGCAGAGGGAAAAGAACAACAGGCAGGGAGCCCAATGTGGGACTTGATCCCAGGACCCTGGGATCATGCCCTGAGCCACAGGCAGACGTTCCCACTTAACCACCCAGGCGTCCCAAAGAAAGCTACCAATTTTTCATAATGCACAGAGAAATTGAATCACTATGGTATACACCTGAAACTAATGTAACTCTGTGTGTCAACTATACTCAAAAAAACAAAAAAGCTACCATTTTCAACCATTTATGTTAAGAATCAGAATTTTCTTAATATCATGTAGCCCAAATAAAATACAGATGCAAAAAGGTCACTTAGGCTTATCAAACTATGCTGGTCTTCTATCATTCACCAATGTCAAATCTGCATTTATAAAGGCAGCCTCATTGTTTTTGCTAACTTTGTGAGAAGTAAATGTCACATATTTGAATTTATAACATAAATCTACACAATTATATTTCTGCTTTAACCTTTTCCTATTGGAATTTGAAGCAAAATTGTTTGAAAACAGGGTTTATGCTGGTAGCTGTTTGAAAGCTGCTGGTCTTTAGGGTAATTAAATGTAAAAAAGTGACTTGGTTTTAGTTTCAGCCTTGATCTGCATATTTAATATAGATTACTTATATACAGTAAATTTAGTTACAGCAAGCTCAAATTTTTACATGTCAAGGCTAATTGCAGAAGAGAAAGAGATACTCCAAAGGGAGAATCATTAGAAAGAAAACTTAATCATCAGATTTTGGGGCACCTGGGTGACTCAGCTGGTTAAGCATCCAATTCTAGGTTTCTGCTCAGGTCATGATCTTGGGATAGTGAGATCAAGCCCGAGTAGGACTCTGCTCATGGCAGTGTTTGCTTAAGATTTCCCTCTCCCTCTCCTTTTGCCCCTCC